CGCTCCATGTGTGCGTGTTTTTATATATTCTTGATACAAATATTATTTTCGCATTTATAAAACGAGACAAATCTATATTTAAGTTTCAAAAGGAAGAGAAGGCACGTAATTAAGGGAGACGATACTTACCACGACAGATTTTTCAAAGTCTGGTTGGGGAAGCCTGGTGACATTCGTTCGAGAGCGCGGGTTGGCACGCTTGCGAGTGGACACGGGAGGTCAGTGCACGTCACGTAGTTGTTGCTCGAAGCCGAGGAATCCGTTCGGAGACTTCGGTTATTCGAGGTGGCCCGTCGTGCCGCAAGTGGGATTAGTGGGATACGCAGCAGCGAATTGCTCCGTCAAAGACTTCCGAGCGGGCCGGGGACATTTGGTGCGCGGTCAGGCTCGGTCTGCTCACGCTTGGTTCGCGCTCGACGAGACTACGGCCACGTCGGGCGAACGCACGCGCGCGCGCGGTGGAACAGCGGGAATCGCGGTAGAGAGAGAGCGAAATCGCGGACGCCGTGCGTGAGACAACCCGGGTGTGCGAACTTGCGAAGCAGCCGAGTTTACCGCGAGGAAGCAAATCAGCGAACGAGCGAGAAAGAGAGAGAGAGAGAGAGAGAGAGAAACAAGCGGACGAGATCGCTGGATGCAATCGCGCTCGCGATCGTCCCAGCCGGTGCACCCTTTGACTCGACCGCCTAGTCCATCCTAAGAACCTAGCTCGTCCCCCTCCGATACGATCGCCGCCGCCACCGCCGCCGCCGTCGTTCGACGCCCGCCGCCGACGACGACGACGACGACACGCGAGGCAGCCGCGCGAGTCGCAGGTTATGTCAAGCGGATTGGCAGGCGCTGTCTCAAACCAGGTCAGTGTGTTGTGTTGACGCGCTACGCGCCGCGCCGCGCCGCACCGCGCTGTGCCGTACCGCCGTACCGCGCCGCGCTGTGCTGTGCCGTGCCGTGTCGTGTCACGCCGTTGCTGTTGCTGTTGCCGTTGCCGCTCTATCGCGGCAGGACAACTGACACATACCTCCCTTCCTCACGTGCCTCCCCCCTGCTACCGTTACGCTGCCGAGGGCTGGCACTTCTCTAAATTTTGTATGTTTTTTCATGCAACGGTATGCAGCGGATGAAAGGACAAACCGGCAACCAAGGTGAGTAACCCCGCCAGCAACTCGCACCCTGACGACCTTCCTCCTCGCTGTTACTCGTCGTCTAGAGCTCTCATAGAGGAAGCGCGCGAGTTGAATTGAGAGCAGCGAAGAGCAAACTCTTTTATTGGAGGATAATACTACGTTAATCATTCGGATGCTCGGAGAAATGTAGTTGTGTATACATTGAACGTGTGAGGTTTGTGATAGCCGAAGAATAGATCTTGTTGCCTGCGTAATGAAGAAATTGAACCCTGTCACAATGTTCTCCAGAATGAAATTAAAACATTTTAATGCGCTATATAATCTGAATCTCGTGAATCTCTAGAATACAACAATGTTGATCCTTTTTTTATCATTAGATTTAATTTCAAATCTTTCAACTTATATAACTGTAACTATCGAGTTATATATAATACATTGGATGTGTACTTGTCTCTTGTTAATTTACTGATCTGAATGATGTAGCTTCAATGTAAGGTAACAATAAAGAGTTATAAATCATCTTATCGTACTGTTCTAGTATTTACAATGCGAGTTTATATTTACTTCGGGAACCGTCTTAAAATATAATATTAACAATCTATTTGAGGAACAAGCAATATTTAGGCTGCTGTCTTATCACGTGTGCCTAATTGCTACATATACTTTTGAACTCTGAGTAAACGCAGTTCTGTTTCGGACAGTGAGCAATGGTCCTAAGGAACACCAGCAGCAACAGCAAACGGAGCATGCCGCTGGCGAGGACACTGGTTTCGACTCGTGGCGAGGCGGCAACAATGCTCAGCATCACTCGAGTTATCCGATCGGCACCGGCGATCCGTACAGCCCGTACTACGCCGGTACCTCGTTCCCTTATCAAACCTTCGGCGCCGGTGATGGCACCTGGTCGAACGGTACCGATCCAGTCGCCTTTCTGTCCGGTTATGGTGGTCAAATAAGCCACGATGCGTACAGCATGGATGGCATGTTCTCGGCGTCGGCAGCCGGCGGTGGTTTCAGCGCGTTCGGCCAACCGCCGTTCAACTACTTCCACGGCAACGGCGACTTCAATACATGGGGCACTCCAAGGAGGACCAAGTACGAGGATTACTATCAACCACCGCGCGGCAACGAGAGCTATGTTAATCCGGCGGCGAGCGGTACCGGCGAGATCAAGACCATCGAGCAGGGCGTCCAGGGTCTGTCGATCGGCGGCAGTGGTGGCGGTGAGTTACCACGGCAAGATCAACAACATCCGCAGCAGGCCACGGCACAGCAGATCAAGCCCGAGCCGAAGGAACCGAGAAAGATAACGTGGGCAAGTGTGGCGAGCCAGCCGGCGAAACCGGGGCCGCCACTCTCATCCTCGCAAGGAATGAAGAAAAAGGCGGGCATGCCGCCACCGCCTATCGTACCGGGTAAACATAATATGGACATCGGGACGTGGGGTGAGGGCAAGTCTTCCGCACCGCCGCCGCCTACGGCACTCCCGCCGCCGCAGGTGCAGCCGCCGATTCCACCGCCACCGCCGCCCGTCCAGAGGCAGCAACGACCGCAGCAGCAGCCCCCACAGCCGTGTTGGAACAGACAGCCATCCGTAACGGCAACCCCACCGATCCCGCAACCACAGTCGCAGACGCAAATCCATATGCCGCCGCAATCGCAGCAGCATCAGCAGTCGCATCAACACCACCATCAGCAGCAGCAGCAACATCAGCAAGTGCAGCAACAGCAGCATCAACAGCAACAACAGCAGCAGCAACAACAACTTGTCCAGGGCAACCAGTCGCATCCAGTTCTCGATGAACTGAAAGTAAAGAACGATTACAATCCCGTGGAGTTTGATCAAGCCGCGCCTGGCGCGAGGTTTTTCGTGATCAAATCTTACTCGGAAGACGACATCCATCGGTCCATCAAGTATGAAATTTGGTGCAGCACGGAGCATGGTAACAAACGGTTGGACCAGGCTTACCGGGAGGCAAGTCGCGAAGGTGCGCCCCTTTATTTGTTCTTCTCTGTAAATGGATCCGGTCATTTCTGCGGCATGGCGCAGATGGTCTCCCCTGTTGACTATCAGAGCAACAGTAGTGTCTGGTCTCAGGACAAGTGGAAGGGTCAGTTTCGCGTCCGTTGGATATACGTGAAGGATGTTCCTAATGTGCAACTGCGACACATTAAGCTTGAGAACAATGAGAATAAACCGGTGACCAACTCGCGAGACGCACAAGAGGTTCCGCACGCGAAAGGTGTCACAGTATTGCGCATCCTGCATACCTATCGTCACTCTACGAGCATCTTCGACGACTTCGGGCATTACGAACGCCGGCAAGCCGAGGAGGATCAGCGTAAAGCCCCAAATCCTATACAACATCATCATTCTTCCTCTAATCATAGGAATAGAGGACATGCCTCAGATATATCCAGAGACCACCATCAGCATGGTCATCAACCTCATCTGCATCAGCGCAAGGTAGATCCTATTGAATTTTCTTCGATCTGTACTACGAAATCTTCAAACAGGATTCGCTTACAATCATTTAATAATTATTATGTTATTTTATATTGCAGGAGCGTGGTGGTCGTAGTGGTAGAGGAGGTTCGCGCCAGTAGCGCTTAATATTGAAGAGACGTAATGCTGTTAACGAGAGTAATCGATGTAAAGGAAGCACGCTACGACTAATAATCACGTCCTACAACTTATCTTTGCTTTCCCGGATCCACGATGGGCTTCTTCTGATTTCCTGTGATCAAACATTTGTTGTTGACCTCGGCCGTGTTGTTCTTTCGTTAAAATGATTAATCCGATAATCAGATAACACTAGCATCGCGTCGACATCATGGTAAAATAATATATAACCGCAACTTCTGAGGAAAAGGACGAGAAGAGAAAGAGAAAGAGAAACTCCTTAGCGGAAGGATAATGCACTATTTCGAAGGATATTTGATTAACTCCCTGACGATTATTAAGTATATATAGTGTGGTGTTGCGTGCTATTCATCGAAAGGTGTTTCTTAAACGTACAAATCATAAAACAGGACAGAAGACAGGAATAAAGAGGAAAAGGGGGGAAAGAGGGAAAGAAAGAAAACGCGGTATAGAAGAAAAAAATAAAAAAAACTGTAATATGTGGACTAATCCTTGTAAAATGCTTAAACTTTTGTTGAAAATGAAAAAATCTATACAAGAACATTATATTATAAACAAGTGTCATTTGGATTGGTTATATATCGTTTTAAATACCAATGAACATTCAATCTGGTGCCTGCAGCTCGACAGAAGGGTCGAATTCCCCCTTAATTGTTAATAAGGTGCAGGGGCTTGTTACAACGTCCTCAGTTGTATTTATAACCATCATGCTTCACAAAATGAATTATACGGAAAATTATTGGCGTTTATTTTAGCGCGTATTTTATATCTGTATTGCGAATATATCATCTATTATTATATTATTCATGGACTACAGAGAAATGAGTTGAAAATAATATAACGAAAAGTGAAATAATATTACAATTAATCTACTGTAATGTACACGATTACGACGATCATTATTATTGTACCATTTGATGACATTTCATGAGATATGATTCTTATTGTTAAACGCATCTCTGTTCTCTGTTTTTTCATTAGATAATAACATTCTTTGCAATGATGGCAACGTTATATTGTGAGTGGTACTGAATAATGTAAACGAATTCATGTTCCTTGATCAATATGTGGAAACAGACTCCTAAGTATTATAACGATACTAAGTAGATGTTCTTTTTTATAATCAATTTTAAATCGATTTTTTACATTTAAAGTAAATTTTTTAATTTCATATCGACTTGTAATAAAATACTTGTAATAAAAACTTGATAATTCGATGTTTTGCTTTTGATTAAAGAGAAATTTTGAATTTCAAGGAAACAATTTTTTGTTAACATTATTCAGAATTACTCTGTATATAAGGCAGTGCTATTTTTATAAAGGACGAAAAGAATTGCTTGTAAAATTTATTAGCGAACCTCATAGGTTGAAGCATCGGTATTGAAAATGCCGATAAATCCATTTATGCGTTAATTAATTAATTAAGTCGTTGTCAATTCTTTATGACCAGTCATATCAAATTCTTTGTCCATGCATTTGCCTGTACTAATATCATCCTCGATGTTTTTCGCGGTTACATTATCCGTGAAAAGCTTTTGTTCATCCTCCAGCGTTTGTATCTTTCTAGCTTCAGCGTCCACGTCGTCCTGTAGCATATCCTGTCGTAGAAAATAATTGCGCAGATTCTCCAAGACTTTCTGGCAAAATTTATCGCTATTTGCGTCAATATAGCGATACACGAATAGATCAGCGCCGGTAATGATAAAGCGATGATTAAACACGTTGATGCGTGCGCCAATGAAAAGATCCTGCGGCGTATAGTACTCCGGATTATCGTTTCCTGTGCATGGTTTCGGAATCAATCTGGAGGATAGGAAGCAGCCCTCACGTCGACCAGAATTTGGTTTCTCGATCTCATTGATTTGAATGGTACCGTGACTTAGGCTGTACTCCAGCACGAAGTCACGGCCCTCATCCTCTGGGTGTATTGCATCCATTCGCGCGGAGTAGCGCAGCTTCTTCGGGAAGTTTTCCAGCTGGCGAATGACATTCTTTTTGGGTGGCTTCGGTATAAACGACAAACAGCTAGCGTACGTATCTTCGGGACTGCCGAACTTTATGTGCGGTGGTATCTCGTACTTCGGTGCTGACCTTTCCACTTTTGTGGAGATCGGAATTGCGTCCAGTTGCGGTGTACCTAGCATGTCGGAGTAATATTTGCGCGTGAAAGCATCGCAGTCATGCAGCAGAAAGCATCGTCCGAATAGGAGGATCGTTTCGCCTACCTGAAAACAAAGTAATAACATGGTTCATCATTTGCTTTTATTTACTCTGGAGAAATATGTAAATATATATTTTACTGAATTTATTTATGCTACGCCTTGAAATCGTCGATGTTAAAATTTTTTATTTTATCAATTTACAAATTTAATTTGCAAATTCAGTATCATCTTGAAATGTAAAAGAGAAACTCGTTTGTTGTTATTTGGATTTTTATTTGGGATCACCTTTCAGATAATTTTAAGATTGCATTTTATAATCAAATAACACGAAACAGGTGGATTTTATAATTTAATTGTAGTCTTATTTATTTAAAGTACAATATTGCATCCACAAATGTATAAGACTAAAATGTATGAGACTAAAATAAGCCGAAATGGCCTTACTCTAAAATCTCGCGGTGCATAGTACTCCACGATCTCGGGATCTCCATATCCCATATAGATACTCGGATGCCAAGATGGCAAATTCTGCCAGTTCTTAGGCACACGCATTCGTTTCAGCAACATCGCCACGTCCTTGCCGTCATTGGGTTCGTGAATCTCTCGGATCGCTACGGTGTCATCCGTCAGGAAATACATCACCCGATAACGATCTCCATTCCATGTTGCATCAAAAGACAGCACCATACCATCGTATTCGAGAAAGCGTCGCCTGGAATCGTCGCCCATCACTCGTGTGACCCCTGTTGGTGTCCTGCACATGGCATCGCGCCATTCAGTGTAAGGATCCGCAGGAAGATTTTCTTTTTCACCGACATCGATACCTTGACTCGTCAGGAACTCTCTGGTAAACGGGTCACAATCGACGATGTGATAAACCACGCCATAAATACCTAGAAGAAATATGTTTCATTTAATTAAAGATAATTTGTACGTTCGATCTAATAAAATATAAATGTACACATATGTATGTGTGTATTTATATTTCAATAGTTAGGATTTAACGTTTGGTATTTTAAATTTTAATATTTTTATTTTGAACATGTTATATGCGTACACATACGCATAAAATGCTTCAGAATTTCTTTCGATTTGATTAAAGAAATTCTGAAGCTTCACATTTGATGATTAAAAACATACTTCCAAAAAAAGTCTATTGGTAAACAATGCATAAGGATGCCGGGTGTGTATATAATATATATATATATATGTAGAATAGAATAGGATATTTATTCAGCGTATTTACATGCCAAGAAGGGGACTTGGTTTACAATTCTCCTTAACTCATCCATACCTTTCATACATTCTTATGTGTTTACACACATATTTTTTCTATTTCCTATCCTTATGATCAACTATACACTACTTATTTTGTGTGTGTGTGTGTGTGTGTGTGTGTGCGCGCGTGTATAAAATTTTAAAATTATATATTTTAATTTTTAATTTTATTTACAATATACTTTCATTTTATGCATAATTTTTATTACAATGCTTTTATTATTTCCCACAAATCCTGAAGACACAATTTTAAGCTAACAAATGAAATATAAAAAAGTGTAATGAAACACAAAGAGAAACAAAGAAGTTTAAACAGATCTATAAAAATATAAAAAAATACCGATGCAGTCATAAATAACAAAATCATATAATACAGTCGATTACATAATAGAGATGTCTCTTCGTTCTCTGTGTTTATTTCTTCATATACAGGGTGTCGTTCTGTATATACACTCTGTATATCTATAGAAACGTTGTAATGAAACATTTCTAATCGTGGCACCAGAAACCATTCGTCATCCGATATTTTCACATGCCCATTTTCGGCACAATCAGACTCACCACTTAATATCAACAGTGGTTATACTTTTCTTTGACCGTCAGTCTGAAATTTTTTAAAGATGTTATACAAAAATCATTCACGTTCTAAAAATTTCTTTGAAATAAATAGAAATAGATAGTTACAAATAAAGATAGACATATAATTATCTCGGAAATATTATTTCAAGATGAAACTTCAAGGATCTCGTATCAAAATGCATCACCGGAAGTAGATCATTGAAATGGCTCACTTTACATATTCACTCGCTGATGATTCCTCCATTTGTTCCATTATTACTTATAAATAATTAATTTCGAGCATTGAAGAAAATTGAACCTCGCACGTGAAAATCTCATTCGAGACTGTGATACCATAACTGAAATCACGCTACACATTCATCACGTGTTCATCCGTTAAGCCCGTATCAGACTACCGACTCTATAG